TTATTCCGCCCTCCACCGATTATCTTTAAAAACAAGTGCGCTAAAACAAGGAATCAAAACGTCTTGCCTTATGTTCCATAAATATGTGTTCAAATCTTTTTGTATTTTTTCATTGTAGTTTTCACCTAGCTATCTGCATACCAATTCCACGAGCCATGCTTGGCCCTTTGGCGCCATCGCTGAGCTTATTGGTGAGTTTTTTTTGTTTTTAACAATATTATTGACGCTGATTCTTGATATTTTTTAATATTTAATCAAATCAAGCAAGTAAAGTAATTGTATCGGGTTGCAATCATGGGAAAATTTTATTCGGTTACTGTGTGTGCCATGTTCCCATGTAAACCTGGACAAAGATTTAAAATAGTAAAGAAATGCCTTGTTTAAATAATATTCTTTATCAAAAGTTTGTAAACAGGCAAACATGACCAAAAGGTGAACAAATTACAAGAAACTATTTCAGTAAGTTACAGAAACAATAAAAAACAAGCAATGTGTGACAGGTTTATACATTGTAATTTTAAAGTAATTTAGTTAAGAATAAGTATGTGACCATATACAGGGCTCGATTTAGTACTAGCCCGGCGTACAATGTCTAGTAAAAACTGCTCCGGGCTAGCCTATTTACTCCTCATGTTGCCCGGTTGTCTAGTGGAAAATTAGCAAGAAATATATTTTCTTAAAAAAAGATTTATTGCCACTGGGGGTGAGTGACATGACATTTAATTGTCGCTAATAAATATTTTGAAACAAATTTTTTTCTTGTCTGTGGGCTAGTTAAATATTCTGTGGGCTAGTAAAATCTCTAGTAAACTAGCCCAGTGGGCTAGTTACCAAAAAAAGTTAGGGCAAGCCCTGCATATATCGGATTTGGGAAAAAAGAGTAATAGTGTTTAATAATGAATAGTGCAGAGATCAAAGACTATAAACTGTATTGTTAGGCAAATCAATGTTGCCTAGGGTGATTAAAATTACCAGGAGCTGTTAGCAGGGGCCCCGCAAGCTACAGCCATATAATTGGCGCTGGTTCGAACAGCCTATGGTTCTGGTGGTAGAATGAGTCTTGGATGAGGACTATAAACCTTAGGCCCAGTGTATACATTGGCTTGTGTGCACTATAAAGAACCCAGTACATTATTCGAGACGAGTAGGTTGATACCCCGGTGTACTGGAACAGACAACCCCTGTGGTGGACGATGATAGTTGCTGATACCGGGTTACCGGGCAGCACATACGCGAAGGGACCCTTAGGGGTGAAGACAGTTACAGATCGAGTTCCTAGTCCACATATCAAGCGCCCTGAGCATCTTATGTTAGATGCATATAGCACTACATAAACTATAAAAAAAAACTAAATCCTTTCCGAGCCACTGGACTCATACGGCTGGAGCTTATCCCCAATTTCTCATATAAAACTACATTATTATTATTATTATAAGAGGAGATTAATCAGTGGATATTATTAATATTATAAGATTAATCAGTGGCCAAAACAATAGTATGGACAAAAACAAGACCTACATTCCGAAAACTTCAAGTAAATATTAAAAATATTGGTCGTAAAAACTATTTTTTTATTTTTATTGGAAGTCTCATGTTTATTGTTCAATGGCTGATCGTTTCTTATTTAAGAAACGATCGGTATTGTGTGTAATTTTTTGTTTACACCACAGAGATATAAAAATAGAACCTCCTTGTTTACATGCACTCCCAAGTTTTTTCAGAGCAATGTAGACCTATATCCACCATTTTTGTGTTGTTTAAAATGACACAAACCAAGAACAAACAATTTAACAACTTGTATTGAGATTTTTTTATAATATTAAATTATTGCACTTTTTATATTATTTTGTTATTTCTGCATCCTAAAATATTTATCAAAATATTCAATTCAATAAAATACAATTAATTCATTTTACTTTGTCATGAATGAAAATAAACTGCTTTAAATAGGCATCATATTACCAAGTTGCCTAGTAACAATGAGTCTGAGAAACGTTCTCGCAAGTAAGTTGTTCTCACGATATTAGACACACACTGCATACTAATCACTACTGGTGCTTCTGCTAAATGGTGGAGAATTATTATAACCAGCAGGCTTGTTCGGTACGAATACCCCTATGGTACTTCATGCGATGGAAGTGATAATTGAGTTGTCTTCCTATGATCTTAGCAAAGCTTTCTTTTATGAATTATATTCTGCATCTGCACGACGAATGGACATGTTTTGTCCTTATCCAGTGTAAACAAATTAACCATGGGGACGTTTAGTTTAGGCCTACTTCTACTGTTATTTTCTCAATGAATTGGCCGTTTACATTAAATAAATCCTTGGTGGAGTGTGGTAGGCGCTATTTCGTGTTTTAATTATGTTTCTGATGTAATACAAAATCATTAACATGGTGCCGGTTGGCAGCCTGTCACAATCGTCATCAGCTATTGCAGTGCCGGTTGGGCCTACGTGGCACCGATTGTTCATTACAGTAGATGGAAATTCCTTTTGTAAATAATTCTCAAGAGAATTTAACGCTGTGTAAATATCAATTACAAAATGCATTTTTTTTTGTGGTCAAAGTGGCTTTGGTCCGACGAGTGTATGAGTGTGTTTGTTTTGATGCTAATTCAGTTGTGAATTGGACTACAGGTAGCCTAGCTCTTGGTTCTCATGTGGTGACTCATTGCAACCATTGTAAATTTTACAAAATGGCCAACTTGAAAGACGACAGTTTCATTGTAAAATAGAGGACATTATTTTGACACTGGGTAGTCAAGTACTGTATTTGCTGTGAATGCTTGCAGCAATTTATGAAAAAAACCCTCTTTAAATGAAATGATAAGATGACAATAGTAAATCTTTGGACAAAAACAATAGAGCATTATAACATTAACAATCAAATACAGTAGTACTGAATATCATTTTCAAACTTCACAAGTAGTGTTAAATGCTTTAAGTCCATTTTATAATAACAAAATTAACAGCCATTCAAAACATTCAATATTAATAACAAGAAAAAATTTGGACCCTATCAATTTTAGAACATAAGACTTGATATTTTCTTTTAATGTACATTTTACAATATGTTTATATAGTGAGAAAGTGTACAGGAGAGGACAATATATTTGACATTTTTACATTCAGGGAAGAACCTGGAATCACTTAAAAATAGCCACTTTCCCATTTAGACACTGTCTTATTTCTTACTATTATATAACAGATACCATGTACACATAAATAGAATCTAATATTAAAATATTAATAATTAATTTATCAAGTAATTTAGATAATGAATTATTAAATAAGTGATTAAAAAACGAAATTATTTTTATACATTAGAAATTGACGTAGGCCTATTTTTGATGCGTACATACAGAACAATGCGTAAAAATACAGAACAAAATTACTCGCGTTACACACGCTAATTTTTCATACGGACGGAAAAGAACGTTCATCATCATAGCAGAACAAACAACAGAACCACATACACATACAGCGATGCACTAGACATGATTATGTTCATATGATGATATTGTACATTTATACGTACAGTACTTTCAGGTAAGACATTTGTTTTAGTTTTGTTTTCTAAACATTAATTATTCTTTATTTCATATAAAAGAGATTTTGGAAATCACTTAAGATCCGATTCGATTTCGAATTATGAAAAGTGTAGGCTGTGGCACCGAGACCTGATGATTAGTGCCCAAAATTGTTTACAAAAACGTAATGCAATAATAGCATATTGACTACTATTGTATATTTTTGGATGTTTTAGCCGCCCCAAATATCTCTTTCCTATTCCTTCCTTTATTCTTTCACAATTTTTTCGTTTTATTCATATTTTTCATAATTTTTTACACTCGCATATGTAGTCACTTGTTTAGGCCTAGCCTAGGCTAGTCCTCGGCTATGCCTATAACTTTATTATTTTAATATACAATTTTAATAGATAAGATTAATTTAACATGGACATAGTAATTCATACTTAAAACAATACACTAAATTTAAATGAAAATATATTAACGTTAACGAATAAATAATAAATAAAAACGTGTACATAGTATCACAATAATAAGATTAATATTTTCAATCTTATAATCAATTTTATATAGCCGGAGTTAGTATTGACCTAGGCTACTATGGCTAACGACAGGTACAGTACGCTTTCTCCAGTATAAAGGCTTTTTCCATGAATGGAATGACCTGTACGAAACACGAACTCCTGTAGACCAAACCCAGTACCGTTACGATTTTAATCGTGTGGGAAATATTCTCAAAACATTGCCCTCATTTTTTTTATATTCTATCAGCAGTGTAAATGGTAAATGCTATATTTAAAATTATTTTTAGCCCATTTTTTATTCATATTTGGAAGTTGTTTTGTGAGTTGTCAAAAAATTATGTCCTCTCCTATTCATCTCTCTGGCATCCTTATACCAAAGAAAATGAACAGCTGTATATATGTTGCACTAATTTTAAGCCTGTTTTATCAAAAGTATTGTCTTTTTTTGTTACCCTTAAAAATATATATGGATACATAAAAGCTTCTCAAAATATTTTGTCAATATAGAGCATTTGAGTATGCTGGTCATAATCGAGGTAAATATTTTAAAATTTCACTGTAAAATGTTGTTATTTTTAAATTTTTTCACAAATTCTAGTGATGCTCATTTAAAAAAATAAGAAATCCTTAACAGTACTAACTTCTTTTATATTTTTATTTAAATGTTTTATTAGCCCTTTTTTATGTAAAGGAGAGGACATCAGATTAATGACATCAGAAAATTAAAAAAATTAAACTTCTTTAATTTTTTATTTATGTTTAGCAGTGGTTTATTTTGTACTACAGGAAACATATATAAAGAAAATGTTTTACTTACTAGGACCAGGGATGTAGCCAGTGAAAATTAAGGGTGGGTATTAAAATTTTAAGGGTGGGTGCTGAATCTTGTGAGTATTTTTCCGCGTAGCGCCAACCGCATGAACAGTTATTAAATGGGGGGGGGGGGGAAGGGGTGGTAAGGGGTGGTAATGATAATTATGACTTACTTTGTTTGGTTTAAATAAAGAGGTAAGTATAGTGTGAGATGAGTGCAAATATTAAATTTTACTAAAATCACTGTTCTTTTATTGACTGAAAGTAAGTTGTAAGTTTTCTTTAATTTCTGTGTGTTAAGTTTATTTGTTATATTTTCATCTCATATTTTTCATATGCAAATTTGATCCCTGAATAAGAAGGGTGATATATTATGCACCTGTCAAACCTAGGCCTAGCTTTTTTCAAGAAATCATCGCACCACACGCACTGGCTGCCGCTAGCCTAGTCTCAGAAAACAACTAGGCCTAGCCTCCTAGAGTATTCTTACAACAAACACATTCGAATCGAAGGTGCAGGATAAAAAGACATAAATAGAACGATCGATTTATTGTTGTATGTGTTATATTGCAAGAATTGTAAGTACATTAATGTAAAAAAAAATCGTTATTTGTTCAATTTCAAAACAAACTTTCGATTAACAAATCACAAACATTCAGCCTCTATCAACACACGCATGATGCTCCGATGATCCGATCGAGATTGGACTCCATTCACCAGACGTTTTCTTGCGAAGCACGTAGTTTTCGATTGTGAATTATTTATTTATGCAGTATTGAATAAAGAAGTTAATAATAAAAAAAATAAATACAGTGTTTTAAAAAGTGTTGTTGTTTATTTATTATAAAGAAACAATACTGATAATAATGTTCATATCTTTGGTTGGTCAATTATGAAGTTAATAAAGTGTTTACAGTATTGTATGTATTTCTGCGTCTGCGTGTTCTGGAGGTCTGACGCACTACATGGGAAAACCCAGAGAGTTAAAAATAGTCGTAGCGTGGGAAATAGTTGTTAATCATCGTGTGGGAAACAATGAGACAATGCGTTTTGTGTATAAACTGTCTCTTATACACATCTAGATGTGTATAAGAGACAGTGTTTATATAGTGAGAAAGGGTATTTATGTGTGCCTTAGTCCAACTTAATGCGACGATTTTTCTTACTGGCCCAAGCCTCTACAGCTTTCTTAAATGGGTATTCTTTTAGTGTTGGGCCTTCAATTACGATTCTCATGATCGCATCTAATGTTTCTTCCTTCATTCTATTTCTTTTGTTTAACCATAGCACCGCTAACACAGCGAATTGACACTTTGCGCTTGCTGCTGCCAGGGTAGTCACGTGATCTGTATGCGGTATAAAATCAAAACATTGGATGCGGGAATAGCGAAATTGTACAGTAATCATGAACAGATGCTCTCTGGTTAAGTAATATATTTGAGAATATATATATGAAAACTAATTCAAAAATGTGCCTGTAGTATATAACTGGCATATAACACTTTGTCGCTGTACATTGATAAAATATTTGCTGTAAGCTGTGATTTTATGCTTTATTCTTAGCCTTCCGACCAGTGATTGCCACGGGTCGGGTAGCGCACAGCGTACGGGAATCATTCACAATCCCCATAGGCTAGGCCTACTTCTCTTTAAAAAATGTCCCAAGTTTTATCATCGCTATATTTTACTCCCTTTGATGTATATTGGCTTAACCTCTCCCACATAAATGTTGGAACATTTGTCAGTGATTTGGTAAAAGAAATTTCACTTCTAAAAATACAGACACTGCAATTCTGATGTCGTTTACAACAGACATTCAGCGATTTACACTCGCTTCGGGCCATCTTTACAGTGTATTAACTAGAGCGTTCAAAACAATAACAACCTCAATACCGCATACAGATCACGTGACTGATAGGACGGTGTCAATTTCCAGCTGATCACACAGTTTACTGTTCAGTCAAGTAGAACGTGAGCGTCCAATCAGCGCTAAAGTCTGGCAGTTCCACTTGGTTGGTTTTCCGATGTTGTTTTATTTGCTAGGCTGCTTGCATGAGGTTTGAGGCTAGAAATATGTGATGATATCTCGCGAAAAAAGTAAGAATTCGGGATGGGCGGATATGTACGTTTGACGCTGGGCGGAAGGCATTAAATTTTGCTTTAGGCTGGGCGGTAGACTTTTAGGCAGGGCGGCCCCGCCCGGCTCCGCCCGGCACAATTACATCCCTGTAGGACAAGAGGTACCACTTAAGAAAATGCTGTAAAGGAGAGGACACATTTTTTTTTTACGCCAAATGCATGGCACTGCTTACCACTGTACCAATTGAGTACACCAAATTATAAGTTCATAATTTTTATTGCTTTTAATTAGATGATATACAGCAATCTTTTAAGCCATTCTGCTTGCTCTGGGTAACTCCTTGAATTATATTTTAATGATGTTAAAAATGTCATGTAAAGGAGAGGACATTTTAAGAGTTTTTTTGACAATATTTTAATTTTTTTATAATTTTTTTGCCAAAATAATTTACTGAATAATTTTTTTTTGTATCTTAGGTGCACTAAAGTAGTTTTAAAAAAGCCAATTGTTGGTAGATTTTATATGGGTTTAGTATTTAAATTTAGGAAGTTAAAATGTGTTATTTTAGAGTGAAACACTGAAATGTAAAAAAAAATGAACATTGTAGTCTAAAAAAAAAAATTAAAGAACCAGTACAACTATTTTTATACTGGGTTAAGAAGGGCTATGGGTGTGTTATATTTAGGAATAGAAAGAAATCCTGAGGCTTTTTTAATAAACAGGCAGCAGGGTCAAATAGTGTGATTTTGAAAAATGTTCCCTGATTGTGAAACAGCCCCTTTGAATGTCAAGGCTCATCCTGAGACAGTGGCAGGATGTTAACTTCCTTTCCATTGAACATCAAGCTGTGATTTATATCTCAATACTAATGGTTACTTAATGATAGATAGATAGATAGATAGATAGTCCAGTTAAATTTGCTAATATTTGATTTACATTTGGTGGATTAATGATTTTCCACAAAAAAATCGCTGTCGGGCCACAAGAATAAATTGCTGTAGTAAAGCTACAACCCACAGCAACTATTTGCTGATGGAGCAGTGCCCGGCTTTTAGGGAAAAACAAAGTTATCAAAGTATGTCATCCAAGCTTGTGAGAAGTGTTGGTGGTCAACATTTTAAGGGTGGGTGGTGGGTCTTTTCCTGCTCTTTCCTTTTGTGTTTATTGTTGTAATCTGTTTAATTGTCTTTGTTGTTTGTGTGACTGTATTATTGTTTTTCCTTGGGTATTCCTGAATAATGACTGATTTTATGCCTACAGTACCATTGTTTTCCTGAATTATTGAGGCTTGGCTTGCGCTTCATAACCGCAAGGGAAAGGCGCAATATAAATACCCAATACCAGTACCAGTGGGTGATACTCAAAAATTGGAAAACTAAATATTAAGAGTGAATTTTAGTGATATGTCCCTTACCCTTATTCTACCATTAATTTATGGTGTGTTCGTTAAATTGTTTTTTGAACTCAATTTTAACTGTAGATAATGCGTATGATCCTGATGTAAATGCATCTTCCATGTATATTGACTATGAGGAGATAAATGGAAAGCCCTGTTTAACTTTTACTGACGATGGTAGTGGATTGGATGTTCCAAAAATGCACAAGATGTTAAGGTAAGAAATGTTTGTTTAAAAAAATCGCAGCTAAACTAACATGTTTTTGAGATGAAATGCTAGGCTTGCATTATGCCAAATTGTTCCCATGAAATATGGATAATGTCACAAGTAAATATTTTTTAGAAATCAAATAAAATTTTCAGAGCTAAAACTTATTCAAGATTATTATTTTGCTTCAATCATGTTATGTTATACATTAATAAAAAGTAGGTAGTTACCAGTTTTATTTTACATTATATTTATTTAATCATATTTTTATCATTTAATTCTTTTGAGGTGGGACAACCATTAGGATATCATTGCTAAGGCCAATAAGAAACTTTTTCTTTTAAGGAGTTGAAACATTTAGTTTCAACAGTCATGAGTTGAACTTGTTTGCATTAACCAAAAGTCTCAATAACTCTATTGAATCTGTTCAACGCAGAGCTTGTCGCACTATTTTGGGTACGGACTTCTTACGATGAAGCGGTAATTAGTTGTAGTCTCCCATGTCTTTCTGTTAGGAGAGTAGAACATTGTATTAAGTTTGCCAAAAGTTTGTCCTTGACTGATCTTCTGCTGGCGACACGCTTTAAATGTCATGACAGAGTGCTGCGGAATTGTAATAACATATCTCAGTTACCAATTAAAACATTTAGATACGCCAACAGTCCCATACCATATTTTATCCATCTGCATCTGCTCAATGCATAAACCCCAGTGATGGCTATCATAGTATTTTGTATTTTTCTCACTTATGCTATTTTATTTGTGCTTCTAAAATTACACGCAATTTGGCCATTGGCCACGAGTTGTAATTGTTTTTTACCTGATGGTTGGTTTTGAATATAAAGGTATATATCGTGTTTAATTAATCATTAAAATGTTTATTGTATTAGAGTTGTCATAATAAAATTTTAATTATTGTTTAGTTTACGTAAAATTTTATTTCTCTACTTTTCTATTTAGCTTTGGATTCTCAGACAAGGAGGAGATAAATGGAAAAAGACCGATAGGTGTCTATGGAAACGGATTCAAATCAGGATCGATGCGACTTGGCAAAGATGCTGTGGTCTTCAGTAAAATAGAAGACAGCATGGTCATCGGCTTCTTGTCTCAAACCTACTTGAAAGAAATTAAGGCTGAAGACATTAAAGTTCCAATCGTTCAATTTAATAATATCCTTTTTATATACTTATTGTAATGAATTCATTAAAGACTGAAGGCTTATCTCCAGTGGATTCTTGGTAGTGAACACTGACAACCAATTCCCTGCTCTCTCCGAAGAGTGTACTGCGTTCTTTAACATGCATATGGATGGGCCATAAATGACTAAAAGGTCTCATCCAAAAGACGGTGCGCTATCATAACTTGAATTTCAGCCCTCCAACTGGAACACGAGGATAGGCAGTGATGGGAATTGAACCGGGGTCCTAGAGATCTCCACAGTTCAGCACATACACAGTGGCTACCACTAGATTGGCCGACTGAGCTAAGCTGCTGTCTCTACTAGTCTAAACATATCATCCACAAGACATTGTGCTAATTGTTGTGTGCATCTTACAAGATAAGCCAGCTTAGTATTTGTTTCACAGATACAGTTTCAGAGAGATTTTAAATGTGATATTGGAAATATGTATCAGAGAGCATACAGCATTTTGTAATTACTATTTGTGATGTTTCCGATTAATGTCTTGTTTTGATTAATACAGCGCTGCATAGCTGAGTCGGCTAAGCTGGTGGTAGTCACTGAGTGTGCCCTGAACCATGGAGATCCTTCGGTACACGGTTCAAGTTCATCCACTGCTCTTCTTGTCTTTCAACTAAATTTGCAAGTATAAAAAAGCGCACCATCTTTCAGTTGAGATGTTTAACCCTTTCCAGTCTGCCCCATTACCATTGCCTGAGGCTGTACCAAAGCTGAGAAATTACATCATCTACACTATGCTATCTCAAAATCAGGGGTGCGCACTCCCCCCCCCCCCTTCTTCGCGTTCTTTTGTCTTTGTTTCTTATGGCTTCAAAAGCGCCTTGAGACGGTTTTCTGTGGAAGGCCCTATATAAATATATGACTGTTGACCATTTTATTTGGTCTGCATACAGGAGGCCCTCTACAGAAATACTCCTACATCACTCTCAAACAATCCTAAAGAGGGCAGCCTAGCTATAGAAAAATTATCATGAAATCTATACATACGTACGACGCCTGTCGCTGTAAAGCTTGGTCAAAGAGGGCGTCATCGCGACGCCATACGACTGGAAAGGGTTAAGCCTGTTGGCAATATGCCTCATGTGCATGTTATAAAAAAACGCAGTACATTGAATAAATCCAATCCAATAAATATCTACAATGTAGTTCAAGAAAGAACAGTATTTTCCTGGACAGATGAAAGAACAATAGCTTGAGCAGGATGTGTTCTATCTGCCGTAAAACCTTGAATAGAAGCCCTGGACTGATTTTTTTTTTTTTAAACTTTAAATGGGCTTCTTTTGGAGTCTGCTTTTGCAAAATAAAGAAAATTGCTTTAATTTGAGATGAGCTTCTCAAGATTAAACCCATTAGGCTTCTATTCGAGGTAAAAAAAACTCAATTACTGATATCATCATTGTATTCCTTAGCAAGTAGATACAGATATCGAAGGAACATGAGCTGTCGTTTACACACTTGAAGAAGTATTCAATCTTTAAAAGTGATTCGGCTTTAAAAGAGCAGTTTGACAAAATATTGTCTCCAACGGGCACGAGAATAGTTATATATAATCTCTCCCAAGAGAAATCGTTTAATGGACAACATCAAGTGTTTGTATTTAATTATAATTTATCTTTATACAGGTCACGCTCCAATTAGAGACCACATTTGGGATATGGTTGTCCATGTTCTTCAATAGCTTTGGTCTCTAATTAGCATAATAGACATTGTTAATATGGGAACCTCTGAAAAGTGGTCTTTAATTAGAGGGAGACCTGTTTTTGATTTGTTCTAATATTCCAAACCAACCAAAGTTGGGAACCCCTCTTCAAATGGTTATCAGTGGATGTAGTTTATATTTGATTAATTTTTTGATATTGATCACGGCCAGCTGACTTTTCTCCGCAGCCTGCCTTTAATATTTTTGCAAGGTTTTCCTAGTTTTGTAAAAATGCACAATGTGATTTTAATAATTCGTCGACATCGTCAATGATATCAAAAATAAAGGTTATAAATGCACATTGTTTTGCCTGGAGGTGGGTTCTAGGGGCGTTTTTTCTAAAGATAATAAAACGAGACTAAATAATATTTTAAAATTAAGTAGTAAGCAATGTAACAAGTGTAAAAAGCAAATTAGCGAACTGTCATTGACCAGCAGTTATGTTATCTGGAACGCCAGACACTCGTCTGAGCGGGAGAATTTTATTTAATTTTATTTGTAATTGATTTCTTGTTTTTTTGTTTTTTTTGGTCTCTGTTCTGCCTCCACCCTGCATGTGCCTAATTAAGCCATGACCTGGGTTTTTTTTGTGACATTCTATTATTATGTTTTCCTTAATAAAGAATGATTTTATATTCCATTGTAAGACTTCTAATAATGTCTTGGGGTTGGACAGTTATGCTTATTAAATTTTCGTCAATCACTTTGGATTATGTTCTGACATGAAGTTGTACATGTAAATAATAACAGAGAGCTTTTGGCCAAGAGGGTAATGTTCTAGTTCAAATCTGGATATTATAGGGTTTGTTTGCAGTCTGATAGCTGGATCTTCAAATATTTCCCGTATGTGAGTTAGGCGGTGTAAAGGACAAATTTGGACTGGCACCACAATATATGTAATATTTGGAGATTGATTATCTTGCAGAACAGACAGGTACGAGTTTGATTTCAAAAAAGATCATACTGACATACTGATTGCTGGTGGTGCTCGCCCGAGAGAGAAGAGTGAGGGCTCGCTGAAAGTCTTCAGGCAACAACATTCTGAAGAAACGCCTAAATGTGACTATTCATTAAAGGTATTTACAATTATTATAAAACAAATAATGAATGTCTTTTATTTGTGTAATGGAAAGAATGTTTCCATTCACTGAAAGATTTATTGTTCCATTTCACTTATGAAAATGTTCTTCCCATTGCACTCATAATAATTCATTATTTGTATAACCTGTCATTACATAAGGGACCTATTTTTACAATGAACTAACTTCTTGTTTACTTTGTCACGTACGTTATAGTTCAGTTAGACCAAAATAATATAGCAAAATAATCCAAGTAAAAAAGCCAAGAAGAAATATATATACTATACTATATACATCAAAAAGACCTAAATAAATTCAAATCAAATCAAATTTGCCTTTATAATACTATAATAATAGTATTCAATGATAATCGTTAGTTAAATATATTTGCCACAGTTCAATATCTTTTTTCCTCTTTTTATGACGTATCACTAGGCGTACTGCTCTGTGCTGTACCTTAGTCCAAAAATTAAAATCTACTTGCGAAAGAAGAAGGTGAGAACCGTATTAATTGCAAAGAGTCTTCAGGAAACCGAAAAGGATGTGTACAGGCCTATGGGAGGCAATAGCAAGGTAAACGTAAACACTTTGATGTAATTTCATGACAGTAAAATCTGTGGAATATTTTTAAGCTAACACATCACAAAGCACCGAAGTTCATTAATATTTACACTAGGGAGTTTGTGATTGTACTACGCGCGTAGGACGTAGAACGTAATGTCACTAAAAGTCACCTGGGCATGCGAGAACAGTAAGTTTTCCGTGTGCAGAGAATGTAAGATGCCAGGTAGGACGGTCATGCATAAGTGATTCTGCTCTAGCATCACCTCATCACACAAATTTAAAGTTTCCTACTGACAGACGATACAAAGGCAAACCAAAATTAGAGATTTATTTATTAGATAAAAGTAGCTTTAAAGGAACAACCAGAAATTTAAAGCTAATTCAAATTGGTTGGATTTAAAATGTCGAAAAAAATTGTGCCATATAAATAATATTGGTACAGTATCTGTTGTCCTTTTAAAAGCAATTCAAAAGAAACTGTAGATAATTTTCTGTTTGAAACAAGAAACTGAAAGTAAAACCAGTCAGAGATTTACAAATTACAGAAGGACCTGGCCAACAAAGTTGTTAAATTTTTAGTAGTTAAGTTATTTTTTCATGTATCTTTTGTTTGTTTTTTATTTTTCGTTGGATACAACATCAATTTGATATGTGCCACTCTAACAAAAAGTATTTCAAATAAAGAAACTAAACTACACTGTTTTATTTCTTTTTTATAAAGGTTACAATAACATTTGGATTCAACCCCAAGAAATATCCATATGGTGTGTGCTTCTATCACTTTAATCGATTGATCAAGTCTTACCAGCGGTTGGGGTACCAAATGAAAGTGAGTACATCTTTAGGTTGGATAATGTCAGAAAGATTTGGAACTGTAGCTAGATTCTAAAGCCTGTATACTTCAAACGAACTTTAGTCAAACTTCAAACTAGAACTTCATTTAGTCCTAGTTTAAACTTAATTTATATTAATAAACCATTCTAACCAAGTTCTAACTACGACTAAATCAAGTCCTTTAGTTGTAGTTCAGCTAAAGACGGCTGGCAAGCAATGACTATCAAACTAACCAATGGAAACTTCCAATTTTAATAGAAGAAATTTTAGAGATCCGTTAACATGAATTAATATCAAGCTGCCATCCTATCGTTCAAAAACGTATTCCTCATAATTCATAATAGACCATCATTCTCTTAACTAAATTTTTTTATATTAGCTATATTAGTCATTAACTTATAAAGACAGAGAATTTAATCAATCACTGAAACTTTGCTTCTTTGGAGAACTATTATTGTTGAGTCTGAGCAAGGGCGGCACAATCTTTGTTGTTGTTATGGTGAGAAGCTATGTGACCGCAACATGAGGGAATCCGTGCAAATCACTATCTCATATGGCTAGCAAAACATGTTAATTTTGCCATTTGGAAGCTGAAATTGATGTCGCTTTCGGTGAACACACCAACGATACATCAGACCTAATTATATTATCATTTTGATTCTTTTCACTCTATCACAAGTTACAAAAAGCATGTTTTTAGTGCGGTAAATCTACAGTATTGATTAAATTTTTTGTGAAATGTACATGTAAACATACAATGAAATAGTTTGTTTTAAGAATATGAAATGACGTATATTTTGAAGTTTTAGCTCAAACTACGACTAAAGTTGGTTTTAAGAATACCGGGGTGAGCTCTCTCCACACTATCAAATTTTATTTGATAAAAAACGTGTTGTATGCCCATATATAGTCATGACATGCCCATATATAGTCATGACATGCCCATATATAGTCATGACATGCCCATATATAGTCTTGACATGCCTGTGTGATGTCATCATGACCATATTTAGGCATATCACTTGTTTTTGTAAAATGAAATTTGATAGTCTAGTCAAGCCTTTAAGTCTGGTTTCCATAAAATCACTACACGCTATCGCCGACTCCTATCCTGATGCTGATTGGTCAGTTGAATCAGGGAGTGTTCCTGATTGCGTTGGGGACAGCTATGCAGCGCAAGGATTGCAGTGAAAACACTGTAGCGACTGTGTAGTGATTTTATGAAAACCGAGCTTTACATTTCTATCCCGGTTCATATAATAATAATAATAATAATAATAATTTTGGCTTATATAGTGCATTATGCTAAAGCCTCAATGCGCTTAACAGTAAAAATAAAATTCGGACATGAATCCTCTGAATAAAAACAGATTTAATCTCTAAAGGTCTGTTCATACTACCAAATTTTGTGGGTGTATCACACTTATTTGTCGTATAAAATTTGATAGTGTAAACAGAGCTTTATCCTCATAAAAAGATAAATTTTTATAAGATTAAGATTGTTGCATCGTATAATTTGTATGTCTTATTTTTTGCTGTTGGGTGAAAGGTGAAAATAAGAAATTATTAAGCTTTTGCATAATATATGTCTTGGTAAACTCAGATTTCATATCAAATTAATTTCACTTAATATTTTTACAGGCTGACCATCGTGGGTCGCAGGTCGTTGGTGTGATCGATTGTAATTTTCTTAAGCCAACACACAATAAACAAGATTTTTTTGGTGATGCGGCTTACAGGTACAGTTTTGCTGTAATAACTGTCTTCTTTATAGCACCTTATTTTACCTTTGGTTATTTATGTCATCTTTATACAAGCGACTAATAAGCCCCTTTCAGGCAGAGCTGCAGTACAGCAATATTGTGGTAAGCACGCCGGCGTGGGTTTCATTCTGAAAGGGTCAGTACGCCAATATGCCGGCTTACTTTAGACCACCTCAGAACACGGCGGTTTCATACGCACTATATTGGGACAATAAGTGTTTTCAACGCGCCTTTCATATATTTACGCACCACAAGCCTCGAACGAACACACTCATGTCGCGATTGGGATCGTGCGAGCCTAGCGGAACTGCTTTTTTTGGTACATAGTAGAATTGTGCTAAAAATAATATATGAGTATAATATCCCCCCATCCATGTTCTGTTTGTCTAATTATTATATCAGCTACTAAACAAAATTTTTGCAATGCATGAATTTGTATAAAAATCATGAATTTTAACGAGAAAAGTAAGGCCGGTCTACAGTAAAAATGTAAACAAACAACGCCTTAACTCCGTAAATGTTAATATCGCTAAACATGGTCGTAATTATCGTCGTTGTACAAAATTGTGCAATTTTTCTGGATGTTATCGTTGGTCGCCAATGAACAATCAGTGTCTGTTCTTGTATTCTGTGAAATATTGGCCTGACAACTTTTTCCGATTTTTAAAAAATTTCGATTGAAACAGCAAATATTTTGGCTTTACTAGGCGTTTTTGACAACTCCACGGGCTCATACGCGCAATTTTACGCGTTGGTTATACATGCTCTAGGCCTAGATTGAGGCCTAGATTTTATTGGGGTTTTGGATAGGCTTTGCTGCATTAATGTTGTTAAATGTTAAAATTATAATTGTATAATATATATATTATTTTTATTCAGCTAATATATA